CCCCCCCCCCCCCCCCCCCCCCCCTCAAATTCAACTTGTGTCCTCAGTGTCCCAAATTGTGACCATTGGCTAAATGAACATGTGATCCTCAGAGAGACTAAGCAGATATCAAAAATTAATATGAAATTTGTTTCCCAATATATTTATATTGTATGAGGAGTTGGCTGCAGAGATGATTCAGGGGTTAGTTGTGCTTGCTGCTCTCATGGAATTCAAGTTTGGTTCGCTGCACCCATGTCGGGCAGCTCACAATTGCCTGTAACTCAAGCTCCTTCTGGCTTCTGCTGGCCAGCATATGTATGCATGTTGCATTTATACATACAGACACATTCATACATATATATTTTTTTTTAAAGAAGTAGGTAATGAGCCAGGCAGTGGTGGCACATGCCTTTAATCCTAGCATTCAGGAGGCAGAGGCAGGCAGATCTCTTGAGTTTGAAGCCAGCCTTGTCTACAGAGAGAGTTCCAGGACAGCCAGGGCTACACAGCGAAACCCTGTCTCCAAAAAACAAACAAACAAAAAGCAGTAAGCATGAAATTAACCCATAGCTCTTTTATTTGTGAGGTTAGGGAGGTGGATCAGTCTACAAAGTGCTTGCCAGGTAAGCACAAAGACCCAAGTTTGATTCCCTAGGCCCTCCTCCTTAAATGAAACAAACAAACAAAAAAGAAAAACCTCTGTAAGAACTGTGGCAACTGAGGCAGAGATAGACAGATTTCTAGGGCTCACTGACTTGTTAGCCTAGCCTAACCAGCCAAGATCTAGGCCAGAGAGAGACCCTATCTCACAAAAAGAGGCAGATGGTATCCCGAGGAATGATACCTGAGTTTGAACTCTGAATTCATACATATACATGTATACTGCACCACCCCCCAAACACTCAGCCTGTGTATGGCAACCCCCATGCATATACACTTGTGTATCATACCCTGCCTAACAATTACAATGCACAATTACTCATGCAAATGATCGTAATATATTTTTTAAAGATCAATGTATTTGATTTTTTTATGCTGGGAGTGTCATGAAGTGTGTGACATACATTGTGTCAGGGTCCTCAGAACCATGCCATTCTTGAAGATTCCCTAGTTGGACAGTATAGTCAGAGTTGATCATAGAAAACCATCGTGGATGCTAGGGAGATGGCTTAATTCATAAAAGGCTTGCTGTGCAAACATCAGGGCCTGAATTTGGATCTTTATTACCCATGCAAAATGCTGGGCCTAGCAAGGAATAAGTGAGCTCCAGATTCATAAAACTCTACCCTGTCTTGAGAAATGAAGTGAAAAGTTACTGAGGAAGACACCAGAGTCAGCTATGTGTGTATGTGGGTTTGTATGTGTATGTATACTCGTGCGCGTGCGTGTGCGTGCGTGCGTGCGTGCGTGCGTGCGTGTGTGTGTGTGTGTATACACACACATTCTCACACATGTTACACAGGATAAAGCAACCCATAACAAAAGCAGACAGCAACTAATTTGAGTCTCTAGCAAGTCAAGTTCACAGGTGTGAAGCTGGGGGGTGGTTGTTACAGCTCATCTGTGCATGATCTGCCTAGCAAGTACAAAATGTCTAACCCTGTAGAAGAAAGGAGGCATCACACAAGTCACACTATTGGTGCCAGCTTAGTTAAGAGGCAAGCCCCTCTTACCTGTTCTGTGAGTGGCAGGAAACCCGTTTGAAACCCAAGTGTTACAGTGCCAGCCACCAGCCTATCTGTAGCTGCCCTTGCAGCCATCCAGATTAGCACTAAGTCATCAGGCTGGAGGTTAACTAGCAAGCACCTTAAGGCCTTTCTGAGATTCCCAAGGTCAACTTCCATAGCTTACTTGGATAAGGGATAGTTTGCCTGCATATTCTTAAAAGGGTTGGGAAGACCCCACCTGAAAACTCTTGATGCCCCACCTTTGGGTAAAAGGAATAAGTTTGGTTGGTGGGGTCCTCCTGGAGTGCTTAGTCCTTGTTAAATGATGTACCAGGGCTCTCTTCTGTTTGCTGAGTGACTAATTATCTCCTGTCTTTCCTTAGAACCTGGGCCCATCTGTGTTGGCTGGGGTGGCTGTGATGGTCTTCATGGTGCCCTTCAATGCTGTGATGGCAATGAAGACCAAGACCTACCAGGTAGGATGATGTCCATCTCCATGGGGCTTCACCCTGAGCCCTAGCCTGGGTCTTTCCAGATGAAGCCCACCCAGTTTCCTGATGGTCAGCCTCATCTATTATAGGTTCCTTTATACAGGGACACTGGCCTTGGAGTTTCTGCAAGTTTTCCAAAGGACAGCCATGGTCAGTGCCCCAGAATTGGTCTGAGCAGGCAGGCAAGCAGAGAGTCTATCACAGTGACTTGGAGCTTCCTTCCCTCCCTCCATCCTCCCTCCCTCCCTCTTTCTTTTATGTTGACTACTTATTATGTGTAGTGTTAACTCTTATTTTGAGAGACACTTTTTAAAAGTGTTTTAACACAGCAAGTCCTTTTTTCTGTTATACAGTATTAAACTACATAGGACTGTAGGTTAGAAGGAATGGTATCCTGTATCATGTCCTATGTTCTTGGCTATTTTGAGTAGATCTCTCTCTCTCTCTCTCTCTCTCTCTCTCCTTCCTTCCTTCCTTCCTTCCTTCCTTCCTTCCTTCCTTCCTTTTTTTGAGACAGGGTTTCTCTGTGTAGCCCTGGCTGTCCTAGAACTCACTTTGTAGACCAGGATGGCCTTGAACTCACCAAGATCTGCCTGCTTCTGTCTCCCAAGTGCTGGGATTAAGGGTGTGAGCCACCATGCTTGTCTGTGATTCCTCCCTCCCTCTCTCCTTGTCTTGATCTTGTTCTGTAACCCATACTGGCCTTACTTTGTCTTCCTGCCTAAAACTCTAAGGATTACAGGCTTGCACCACCAGGCCTAGCTTTACCTCTAGAACTGTCCCTATACAATATAACTATATGTATAATTAGGGTTGCTATGAAGTGATGTCTTTTTTTGTTTTAAAAGTTGATTTTTGAGACAAGGTTTCTCTGTGTAGCTTTTGAGCCTATCCTGGCACTCGCTCTGGAGACCAGGCTGACCTCGAACTCACAGAGATCTGCCTGTCTCTGCCTCCCGAGTGCTGGGATTAAAGGCGTGCACCACCAACGCCCGGCTTTTAAAAGTTGATTTTTTTCTCCTTTTAATGAAGAGATTTTTTTTCCCTCATAAGATATCCTGATAGTTTTTCCTCCCTCTACCCCTTCCAGATCCTTCCTGTCTCCCCTCCCATTGAATCTGCTCCCTTTCTGTCTTTCATTAGAAAATAAACAGGCTTCTCAGGGAATATAATATAATATAGTGATTAAAGATAAAATAAAAGTTAACTCATAAAAACTGGTGATACTTTTGTCCATTGGACATTTGTGGTGGTAAGATTTTATCATTTGATCTCATGCCTGATGATCTTCTGTTACGATAAATCTTTCCGCCAAAAGCCCCACTGCCATGTGTGCGCGCTTTACACCAGTCGCCCGCCTGAATTAGGGCCCAAATTAATACACAGAAACTTGTATTAGGTTCAAATGCTGCTTGGCCAATGACTAGGATTCTCATCTGTTAGCTCAGTCTTAATTGTCATAAATCTATATATTTTATAAGACTTATCTTATCAGACACCTTATTGGCGTCCCTCCTTGCCGGTGGATCACATCCCGCCACTGGAGGAGGCAGGGGGAAAAGGGACACTTCCTGTTTCTCCTTGCTTAAATATGAGTCTCCTTGCTATGTCACTTCCTGCCTGGATCACCACTTCTCTACTACATTTCCCAGAATCCTCTTGACTCTTAGTCTCGTCTAACTTGCCACCTCATTGGCCAAACAGAACTTTATTCAACAATCAATAAGATAAACATACACAGACATACTTCCCCCATCAATCTTCATGTGTGGATCATGTGGTCTTCACGTCCCATGTTTCTCTGTCCCTTGTTGTTGGCTGTGTGCTGTCCTTGGCTGCACTGATGGGCTCTGGGTGGGCTGACCATGGTGGGAGAGTAGTCTTGTAGGCTGACTTCATGGAATAGGCCTGCCATCGGGTTTTGTCCTGGAATAAGTAGGCTTCCCTGAGTGGCTCACCTCAAAAAATGCTCCTATCTCTGTTTTCAGATCTGGTTGCATATGGTTCACTCATCTGCGACCATGGCACTGCCCTGGCTGAACATAGCATGGCTGTGTCTGAAACACTTAGAAAACTGTCTGCCAAGGGTGATGCACCAGATGGGTTTTAAAATATTGTCAGAACCAGTGCCAGCCAGACCTGGCAGGTTTCAGTATTTTAATGACCATATTTTAATGACTGGAAATCAGTTATGAGAAAAAGAAATACAACAGGTGTGTGGTGCTCTTGTCAGTCTAGCCCTTGGTAAGCTTGAGGCGGGAGGACTAGGGGTTCAAGGCCAACAGGGCTATAGAGTAAGACCCTGTAAAAAAGAGAGCTAGAGAAGGGAAGGAAAGAGAGGGATACTTTATTCTCTCCCACTTTGGGTCAGCAACGTAAGATGTCATCCTCTATCTTCTGATTCCCTGGGGGCCTTGTCTCACCTCTGGTCTCTCAGTCGAATGCAACCCAAACTGAAGAATTTTGGGTCTTTTGCCATGGCCTGGGAGCTGACACTATGGCTCATGGGGTCCAAGGCCAACTTTCCCATCCTTTGGGAGGAGCCGCTTTTAATTATAGATGTCCCCAGGGCCCAGGATGCTGCTCTTCCCCTGCAGGTGGCACACATGGAGAGCAAAGACAACAGAATCAAGCTGATGAATGAGATTCTCAATGGGATCAAAGTCCTTAAGCTGTATGCCTGGGAGCTGGCGTTCCAGGACAAGGTCATGGACATCAGGAAGGAGGAGCTGAAGGTGCTCAAGAAGTCTGCATACCTGGCAGCTGTGGGCACCTTCACCTGGGTCTGCACACCTTTCCTGGTGAGTACGGCAGTTATTTTCACGAGACATATTTGGTATATCTTCTGTTTTTAAACCTAAAATTTGTAGAAATTTGAAAATCAATTTTATGTATTTGTGTGTGTGTGTGTGTGTGTGTGTGTGTGTGTAGGGGGATGAGTGCTGTGGTACACACGCAGAGGTCAGAGGACAACTAGAGTTCTCTCTTCGACCTTGTGGGCTCCAGGGATTGAACTAAGCTTGTCAGCCTTGGCAGCAAGTGCCCTTGCCATTGAGCCAACACCTAAATATTTTTCTTTTCTTTCTCTCTATCTCTCTTTCTCTCTCTTGTTGTTTTTGTTTGTTTTGCTTTTGTTTTTTGTTTTGTTTCTTTCTTTTTTTTTTTTTTTTTTGGTTTTTTCGAAACAGGGTTTCTCTGTGTAGCTTTGGAGCCTATCCTGGTACTAGCTCTGGAGACTAGGCTGGCCTCAAACTCCTGCCTCTACCTCCTGCGTGTTGGGATTTAAGGTGTGTGCCACCACCACCCAGCTACCTAAATATTTTTCAAAGGCTGCTAGTGCAGGCCTGGGGTTTAGCTCAGTGGTATAGCATTTGCTTCAGTATGATGTCCTGGATTCCATCCCCACCACTACAAAGCCAACCAGACAGACAAAAGATTGCCATTTGAGCAAGTCCTTTCCCCATCACTCCCTTCCAAGGCTAATACCCACAGCCTGCTTTATTTGCCCTGCTTGGCAGTTTCACATGGCCAGTCCAGTAGCTGTTACAGAATGGAAACCTGTGCTGTCAGCTCCCTTCACTGAGAAAGTCTCATAAGAAAGCTTGCTAGGCCTGGGGTGGTGACTCAGCAGCAAAGGACTTGCCTTGCAAGAATGAGTTCCTGTGTTTGTTCTCCCAGAACCTTATGTTTAACAACAGAGCCAGAAGAGGTGGGGAGGCAGAGACAGGCAGATTCTGGGCTCCCTGGCCAGCCAAGCTTGCCTACTTGTTGAGTTAAGGCCAATGACACAGCCTATTTCATGTGCCTAGAGATTGGCAGCTAAGATGGGTGTAGTGGCACACACCTTTAATCCCAGCGCTAGGGAGGCAGAAGCAAGTGCATCTCTGTGAGTTTGAGGCCAGCCTGGTCTACACAGTGAGTTCTAGGACAGCTAGGGCTGTAAAACAGAGAAACCCTGTTTTGGAAAAACAAAAATACCAAAACCAACCAACCAACCAAATAGAATGGCAGCTGAGGTTATCCTCTGGCCTCTACATGCGTGCGCGCGCGCGCGCACACACACACACAGACACATGCACGCACGCACGCACGCACGCACGCACACATGCACACACACATGTGCACGCACAAACACACAAACACGTTCAAACACACACAGTGTTACTGAACTAAACTGCACACTTGGTTGCCTTAGCTGGTAGACTCCAGGGGACCAGTGTCTTCTTGTTACTAACTGATTGCAAGCTGTGGCTTGTCAGTGACCTAAGACCATGTGTCCAGTGGCACTGCCAGACACATTCTAAAATTACAGGTTTTTTTTAAATAAATTTTTATTTAAATTTAAAACAACCTTATTTTGCATACCAATCCCAGTTCCCTCTCCCTTCCATCCTCCCATGCCCCCAACCAACCCTCCCCATCTCACCGCCTATCCATTCCCCGGGGGATCGTCAAAGTCTGCCACATCATTTGGGACAGGACCTAGGCCCTCCCCCATGTATCTAGGCTAAGAGAGTATCCCTTCATAGGGAAAGGGCTCCCAAAGCCCACCCAGAGGCCCAATGGATTGCCCAGGCCTCCCAACTGACACCCATGTTCAGGGGGTCTGGTTTAGTCCTATGTAAAATTACAGTTTTGTTTACTGCCTGTGTCTGGAATGTCAGCTCCGGGAGAGCATCTGTGGACACCTTGCCCCTGTTTCTCAGAGGGTCCAAGGCCAACACTGTTGTTCATGGTAGCCACCAGATCATATAGGAAATTCTAAATTGTGGGTGCATGCTGTCCCCCACTTTTCCGCTGTGACAACTCCTTTGTTCCAGAGAGACTGTTCTGTGCGTTTCAGAAAACAGTGTCTAGGGTTATAGTTATAGGTATTTAAAAATACCTTGATGGGAGGGAGCTGGAGAGATGACACAGCCGTTAATGAACAGTCAGTGATCTTCCAGAGGACTGAGTTCAGTTCCTAGCACCCAAAGTGGGCGGCTCATAACTACCTGGGACTCCAGGCCCAGGGGATCTGATGTCCTCTTCCAGTCCCTGTGGGCAGTGACACACATGCGGCACATACACAGAGAGAAACTCACACAGATAAATTAAAAAGAAGGTAAATCTTTAGATTTATAGTTTTATGTATTCTAGAATTGTACTATACATAGCCTGGCATGCTCAAGACCCTAGGTTTGATTTTCAGCTCTGAAAAAATGTGTCTTCTGGCATGGACAAGTCACTCTGTTAACTGGGTTCGTGCCTCTCTTGGTCCCAAAGGCACCTTGCATTTCACTCCTTTTACTTTCCACATAGTAATTGAGGGCACTGTATAAGTCTTCATTGTTGAGAATTAGGTGTGTGCCTAGTGGGGGTTCATGACAAGGTTTACCTGAACTGTGCTTCCCTCAGAAGGAGATGGGCCTGGAACACTTTTTTTTTTTTTTTTTTTTTTTTTTTTTTTTAACCTTTTTTTTTTTTTTTTTTTTTTTTTTTTTTGATAACCCTGTGTCTTAGTTAGCTTTACTATTGCTGTGAAGAGACACCATGACCGTGGCAACTCTTATAAAGGAAACATTTAATTGGGGTCCGCTCGCTTACAGCTTCAGTTCATTATCACGACAGGAGTGTGGCAGCTTGTAGGCAGATGTGGTACTGGAGCAGAGAGTGCTAGCTACATCTTGCTGGCAACAGGAAGCCTGACTGAAATACTAGGCGGTATCCTGAGTATAGAAAGCCTCAAGGCCCGCCCCCCACAGTGACACACCTCCTTGAACAAGGCCATACACACTCCAACAAAGCCACACCTCCTAATAGTGCCACTCTCTGAGATTATGGGGGCCAAATACATTCAAACTCCCTGGCCCTCATAAGCTTGTTAAAAATATAATGAAAAAAAATGTATTTAGTTCAACTTCAAAAGTCCCCATAGTCTATTAACAGTCACAAACTTGTTTCAAAGTCCAAAGTCTCTTCTGAGACATTTGACAATCTCTTAACTGTAATCCCTCTGTTAAAAAACAAAATCAAAAGGCAGATCACATTCTTCCAACATAAATAGCACAGGACATACATTACCATTCCAAAACAGGAAAGGGGGGAAATGCTGAACAAAAGCAAGACCAAAAACCAGCCGGGCAAGCTCCAAACTCTGCATTTTCGTGTCTGCTGTTGAAACGTTCTTCAGATCACCAACTCCTTTCGGCTCTGTTGACGGCAGCCTTGACAGAACCTGCACCTTCTAGGCTGTTACTGAAAATGCTAGCCAGAAAGTACTAGAGAGAAGGATTCTGTAGACCCTTGGTTTCTGGCTGAGTTAGGTATATGTTACCTTTTTAATTGCTGTGACAAAAATCTCTGACAGAGGCAACTTGATGGAGGAGGGCTTAGCTTTGCCTCACCAGTGTTGCACCTGCAGTGCACTGGGAGCTTGGCTTTCAACACGGCTTGCTCCCGCCTTGGTGGATCAGGAGGCAGGGCTGTAACCTGGAAGGCCTGCTCCCGAGGCTGGTATCTGCCGGCAAGGCCTGGTGTCCACGTCCTCCCCAGACAGCAGTTCCTGCTGCATAGCAGGTGTCCCAACACATGAACCTGTGGATGATTTTACCCTAAAACCAGAGCAGCAGGGAAGGCTGAGAATGCTGGGATTCCAGGATAGTCAGCTGAACCTTTGGTCAAGAAATAGTTGAGGCCAGTTGTCAACAGGGCCCTGGGCCCTGCAAAGGTACCCAGCCTCTGCCTGCATTAGAAGAAAAGATTGGTTTGTGCTCTCTTTCCTTTGACAGGCTCCTGCTTCAAGGATGGGTGGAGTTCACCTATGGTCATAGGAGACAGGTGGAAGGCCTTGCATCTTGTTCTGGGGTCAGAGCCTCATGTTTGTCACTTGGTGCTCTTTTGGGGGCCAGAGTTTAACACACTCTGGGGTGACCTGTGAGCTGCTTGCCTCTTATTTGGCCTGGATCCCCTTCTGCAGAGTGATTACCAGCCCCTGGGGTAATGACTACTATGTGGTGCTCTACTGATCAGAGCTTGGAATGTTGTGTCTGTCTCCAGAGCAGAGGGGTTTTGGCGTAGGATATCTGTGTGTAGGTGGATGAATGAGTAACTGAAAGTCGTATTGCATTGCTTCAGTTCTACCATGCTGACAGAAGTCTGACTCCATCTGCTGGAATGCCCAGGGCCTGGTCCCACCTGTGTGCCAATCTCAGCCACTCTGAACTACCAAACGCCACTCCAGAGCTCTCAGCTGGTCCATGTTGCCCTGTAGTTTGTTGCTCAGGGCCACCAGGCCTGCCTTGCTCCCTGGCCTGTGGCACCCAGAACCTAGTAGTTGTTCAGTTAACAGATGGTAGCTGTTTGTGTAGAGTGTAGAAGTCTGGGCCTGACAGAGGGAATGAGAGCAAACCTGAGTAGAAGAAGGGACAGAATGATGACAGAGGATAATCCAGTGGGCCGTGGGACTGGTCAAGACTGGCTTTTATACTAGAGCACTTTGACTTTAGATAGTTTTACTATTATTACTGAGTGAGAGAGAGAGAGAGAGAGTGTGTGTGTGTGTGTGTGTGTGTGTGTGTGTGTGTGTGGTATGCATGCCATGGGGCATGTGCAGAGGTCAGAGGACAACCTGTGTAAGTAGGTTCTGTCTTTCCACTTATGTGTTTCCCAGAGATGGAACTTGTGTTGTCAGGTTTGGTGGCAAGTGCCTTTATCTGCTGAGCTCTCTCTGTGGCCCCTTTAAGTTGTTTCATATTTGATATGTGCCCCCATGTTAGCATTAGCTTCACCTAGTAGGAGACCTTATACTTGTTACAAGTTACCCCTAATCCCTTATTCTCAGTAATTCTGGTCATCATCCATTGACTTCCTTCTTCTGCAGAGTTGCCTACTGGGAGCATTCTGTGTGAACAGAATAGAAAATGAGGTGGCTTTCCATTTCTGTCACTTTGGATGACAATTTTTAGTTTTTTTTCATGTAATAGCATTCGTAGCCAGATGATGGTGGCCCACGCCTTTAATCCCAGCACTCCGGTGGCAGAGGCAAATGGATCCCTTTGAGTTGAGGCCAGCCTGGTCTACAGACCTAGTTCCAAGACAGCCAGGGCTGTTACACTGAGAAACTCTGTCTTGAAAAACAAAACAAAACAAAGACATTTCTTTTTTATGGCTGAGTAATATTCTAACATGTGGGCTATAAGAGACTTTTGAGCAAACACATTTGTGTTAGGGAGAGGGGTGGGAAGAGGTTGATGGGTTGTTTCTAATTACTGTTAAATGGAAGCACAGTGCCAACAGAATAGTGTCTAGTCCATTTGGAAAAGCTAGAGCAAAAAAATGTTTTCACTGCAGTGGAGGGAGACATGCTTGAGGGATGGTACTTGACCTGAGCTTGTGTGTCAAAGCATCACTTAACACCTCATTATTATTTTTTAAATATTTAAATTTTATTTTTATTTTATGTACTTTGGTGTTTTGCCTGCTTGCATGTCTGTGCGAGGGTGTCAGATCTTGAAGTTACAGACAGTTGGTAGCTGCATGTGGGTGCTGGGAATTGAACCCAGGTCCTCTGAAAGAGCAGTCAGTACTGTTAACCACTGAGCCATCTCTCTAAACCCTATGTACAGTTTTTAATTAAAAAAATAAATTTTAACCAGACACATAGATACCTTTAATCCCAGTACACAGTAGGCAGAGGCATGTACATCTCCGAATATGAAGCTAGCCAGGCGTATATAGTGAGTTCCAGTACAGCTAGGACTACATAGTAGGAACCTGTCTCAAAAACATAAGAAATAAAGTAAAATAAGGTTAAAACACATATAATGTATCTCAAAAAGTTTAAAACATAACCTGTGAGGCTATGTAATATCCAGGGTGCTCAGGGGGCTGCCATCTGGGGCCATCCACATGATAGAGTATCAGTGGTCTTTGGAGCACTGCCTCCCACTTTGGCCACAGAGCCTGGATAGTTCTTCCCTAGGTCTGCTGACAGGCAGAGCAGGAAATAGGTCTCTTTACTGGTTTCATCAGAACCAAGCTTCTAGGAGGATGGAGTCCTTGGCAGCATGGCCAGGGCTTGGCCAAGAGTGTACAGTGGAATAAACAGCTTCCCAGGTGACCCTATAGGATTTGCACTCAGCACTTGGCTTGACTGTCCTTATAGGTGTGTTAGCTCCATGTCATATATGGAGAGCCAAACCACCTGAGGGACAGAACTCACATTGAGCCACGTAATTGACATGCTCTGGGTGAATAGGTTCCAGCTACATGCCCCACTGGCTTCTAGACATGATTAAAATGGCCTTTGTTTTGTTTTTGAGACTGGGTCTGTTATAACCCAGACTGGCCTTGAACTCCCTCTGTAGCCAGGGATGACCTTACATTTCTGGTCTTCCTGGCTCCTCCTCTCCAGTGTTGGGATTACAGATAAGCACCACCCTACCTGGCTCATGCAGTGCTAGGGTGAGCTCAGGACTGCATGCATGCCAGGAGAGCCTTCTATCAATTGAACTGTATTTTTGTTCCATTAGGTATGGATCCAGGGCCACCTGCATGGCAGGAATACTTACCTGATCATCCATCTTTCTGGTTCATTCTTTATAATGCAGGAGTGCTGGCTCTACCCCTGCCCCTTCCTTCCCACCCCCTTTGAGCCTTTTCCATTTTAAGCCCGGTGGAGAGGTCTGACCTGAATGAATCCCCCTTCCTTCTGTGGGTGGTGTAGCTGTGGCTTCATCATTCAATGCTTTGCCATGTTTGCAGGTGGCCCTGTCAACCTTTGCTGTGTATGTGACCGTGGATGAGAACAACATTCTAGATGCAAAGAAAGCCTTTGTGTCCCTAGCCCTGTTCAATATCTTGCGCTTCCCACTCAACATCCTGCCCATGGTCATCAGCAGCATTGTGCAGGTGTGTATCATACAGAGGGTCCAGGAGGGTAACATAGGGGCTCTCGGGATCCCCCCATGGTCATCAGTAGCATCATGCAGATGTGTGGGGAACAGTGGGAACCAGGAGTGGACATGGGAGCTGTCAGCATACTCCCATGGTCATTAGCAACATTGTGTGTGGGTGGACAGGGAAACAGGAGGGGGAATGAGGGCTTCTCAGTGTCATTTGGACCCAGACTGTCCCACTGATTTACTCGAGCAGCCCTGACAACACTTTTCCAAACTGCTCACGTTGTTGTGTCCTGGAGGACCCAGTGGAGCCTTGTGCATGAATCCACTTGCTGATCCCAGGATGGCTTCTGTCTCAGCAGCAAGGAGTCATTTGATTCTATTCTGCGAAAGACACAGATTTCCCTTCTTGGCAGAGAATGCCTGGCTCTGTAGCCTAGCTTGGCCTAGAACTCAATTCTAGCCCAGGGTGGCTTAGAATTCATGTTCTTTTCTACCTTGGCCTCAGAAATATAAGAGGTATGGACTTTACCTCAAGAATTCTCTTTTAATTTTAAAGAATCTTTCTAGAATATTCTATGTTCCTCTGGCCTCTCTCACAGCTGATGTTTAAAAAACATGGGCCTTGACCTATTTCAATGTCATATTCTGCCGATGGGTCTTGATCCACTCTTTGAAACTCTGAGTACCCCCTCTCCCTCTTCCTCTTCCTGTTTCCATCTATGCCTCCTGCTTTCATTCTTTCTGCATGCAAGGATTTGTAAGCAAACCCAGACCCTTTGCCCATAGGCACTGCAGCGTGTGTTGTCTGTCTATAATTAGGACCCAGAACCCAGTGATTGGTTAAAGTCAAACTCGGTCTGCTAATGTAGAGATATGCTGCCTTTCCAAAGTCCCATTGCATGTGGCAGCATGCCCTTCGTTTACTGACTTGTGTGGGCACCAGGTGGCAGGGTGGCAGGTGGTCCAAATGGTGTCAGGGTGACACACCCTGTGCTTGCTTCCCCAGGCCAGCGTCTCCCTCAAGCGTCTCAGGATCTTTCTGTCTCATGAGGAGCTGGATCCAGACAGCATTGAGAGGTTGTCGATCAAGGATGGTGGGTACCTTTCCTCTACCCACTTTGGCTCCTTATCCTGGCCCCTCCAGGACCTGACTCGGCCCAGCTTGTCCACAAGCCCCAGGATCTGGCCTCTACAGAGGGGACCAGAGGGCTTTGCTGTTATCTTTTCCCCTGCCCTCCTCAGTGTGAGTGAGAACTTTGGGCTCTGTAGCTCAGTCATTGGTTCTGTCCTGTGTGAGGAATAGCCCAGTTTTTGCTTTTGCCTGTGTCTGTGCATTCGGGGCTACATTTTCCTCATCTGGATGTTTCATTGGATTTCTTAAATGATTGATTAGTCAATTTATTGCTGGGGATAAACACAGGACTTCACACAGCTAGGAAAATGCTCTACTACTGTCCTACAGCCTCGGTCTACTGTTTACTTTTTGAGACAGGATTTAAGTTGCCCAAGCTGGCCAACTGAATAGCTGGGTATAGGGCTGTGTCACTGGGCCCAGCCAGGTATCCTGTGTATTTTTATCACTGGCTTTATTTCATAGACTAGTTGATCCTTCTGGCTGACCCCTGAGCTGACATCTTGATTTTCAGTTTCTAGTCACTTTGCAGTCATTGCTAATGGCTCCAGCAATGGTGAGCCTTTTCTGGGAGGTAGGGTGTGTGTGTGTGTGTGTGTGTGTGTGTGTGTGTGTGTGTGTGTAGTTGAGGTAGGGGTGTGTGTGTGTGTGTGTGTGTGTGTGTGTAAGTTGAACATGCAGTGTAGCATGTCCCTTAGAGCAGAAGCCAGGGTCAGAAAACTTGCCTGAGGCACCCAGCAGGTAAGACTGGGGCTGAGATTTCCTGAGTACCTGCTCTGCTACCAGCTTGTTCCCAGGCCTCTGTATGTATGTGCTCACTACTGCAGTGGTCCAGGCTGGTGCCACCAGCACAGCCCTGGCTCACATGAGGAAAGAGGTCCAGAGAGACTGTCCACTGGGGTTCAAACTCACACCCTGTGGCTCAGAGCCCAATAAACAGGATTGAAGATAGTGTCTGGCCCCTGGTGATATAGTACCAGGAGCCTAGTGGGCTATTATAGGCTAACACCCAGTGATATATGTCTGCTGTTCTGTGAAGACAGTAGCTGGTCTCTGTTGCCCTTAGCAGGGTATCGCAGTGGGTGCTTGAGGCTCACAGTTCCTGTTGAGGACAACCTTATGACTGTGGGACACCTCCCCACCACATCTCATAGCAGTGACAACTGAAATTGTCTCCAGGCACTGCCATGTGTTCCCTAAGTGGACACTTGTCCCTTTTTGAACACTACAGCTCAAGCAGATGCTGGAACTCTGCTGCATGGTGTTCTGCCGTCCTGAGGTGCTTGGGGTGTGGAAACATGAACTCCAGAGCCAAGGCAGCCATCAGAGCTCCTACAGCCAAGCTGTGCACAGTTCCCTATATTGCCAGAGTCAGGACCAGTGCTCTTGCTCCGGAGGCTTTTAATCACCGTGCAGCCCTGCCTGTCCACCCCACCAGGAAGTGGAGAGAGGTTTATACAAGAGCACAACTCTTTTTCTCCTTGATCTTGGTTCATGTTCAGCACTCCCAGCCAGAGATCATGGAGGATGTCCCCAAACACTGAGTAACCAGTGAGGGTCCTCAGCCTCTGCACGGGACCAGAGCAGGTCATGTGCATGTGTGCCTGTTGTCATGCATGACTCCTAACACATTGTCTCTGATGTTTTCCAGGTGGGGGGATGAATAGCATCACTGTGAAGAACGCATCATTCACATGGGCTAGGGATGAACCTCCCACACTAAATGGGTAAGCCCGGGAGATAGACACACTGACATTGGAGCTCTGAACACTCTCTACCTCCATGACCCTGATGTTCACCTTTCTCAGCCTCAGTTTACCCATCTGAAAAAAGGTCCAATCACAACTGCTTGGGCTGTTGTGAGGAGCAGCTCAGAAAGTGCTTGGTACAGGTATCATACCCTTCTGATTGTGACAGAAAGTCATGCTCCGGGCCCAAGGGGAATTTGGGGTTTGGGGAAGTAGGAAGGTCCGTTTGAAGGTACAGCATGATCCAGGGTCTCAGGAACCTGTAGAACTCTGCTGTTCCTCTGAGCTGCCCCAGATTTGGTATGATGCTTTTCTCTGAGCCAAGCACAATGCTTAGAGGCCCAGGGTATGCTGCTGTCTAGGCTGAGTCCCTTTTGAAAGGTTTCTGTCTTAGCAATGCATTTCTCTGTATTTCTCAGTGTTTCCTAGCAGCCTGTTCACCCCTATCCCTTCCAATGGTATCTGCCTGCATAGTCCTTATCTGTTTATAGAATAGCTGTCCCTGTCCCTATTCCCTGGACTGTGCTTGCTTAGTGATCTCATCTCCTTAAGGAATCCAAAACACAAGGCAAGGGAACTTTTTTGGAGTCAAGTTTGTCATTTGTGCCCCTAAACAATTGTTCTCTGCCGTGGCAACTTGCCCACTGTGTTTGGTCAGTCACAGGACAGACACCAGAGAAAGGAATCTCTCCCTTTCTACTTCCATTAACTACGTGAGGGTATAAGATCTTCCTTTGGGGCTAACTTAAATCCTGCCCAACTCATTTGTAACATCTCTTACCTGTGCCTATTCTCCACTCTCAACATCCTAGCCCTCAGGATTCCAGGTCTTTTCAGCTGCCACTGTGAATCCCCAACCTTTTCTGTTTAACCTTTGCCTCCCCATAGCTTGTAAGAATATCCTGGTCTCCCTTGGAAGAAGTGGGCAGCTGCCTCCCTAGGAATGCTGCACAGGGTAGCCCCATGACCCTGCCCCTCACAATGCAGCACAAAAGAACAGCAATGAGTGGTCTAGGAGCTAGGGAGATGACTCAGTAAGTAAACCTGAATGAGACCCTCATCCCACGTAACAAAAGCTTGGCATGGTTACATCCATGTAATCCCAGCACTGGGGAGGGAGAAACAGGCACAATAGCCTGCTTGGTGAATCCCAGGCCAGTGAAGGACTCTTGTCTCTAAAAAGCAAGCTGGATGGCACCAGAGAAATGACACCCAAGTTTGCCCTCTAACCTTCACTCGAATATTTACACAGACAAAAGAATCAGACAAAAACAGTTGATCCATGTGGTTAGCTAGTTTTGAAACCAGTGCCCAGGGATAAGAAGGGCCTCTTCCTGGGGGCCTGAGGTGCTCATGTGCCCCGTGTGGGCATGGAGGTCAGTGTGCTGAGCTGTCAACTGTAGGAGCAGCTGTGTCATGCATGATGACCCACTAGTCTAGCTGTAGAGCTTACGCCTCATGTCTCTGCCCTTTCTAGGCAGAGCCTCACTATGTAGTCTTGATTAGCTTAGAACTCAGCATGCAGACCAGGCTGCCTCTGCCTCTGCCTCCTGAGGGGTGGGATTAAAGCTATGCTCCACTACTTGTAAGTTTTGTTTTGTTTGGTTTGGTTTGGTTTGGTTTTTTGTTTGTTTGTTTTTTTCCAAACAGGGTGTCTGTGTGTAACAGCCCTAGCTGTCGTGGAGCTAGTTCTGTAGACCAGGCCTGCCTCTGCCTCCCAAGTGCTGTGTCTAAAGGCATGTGCTACCACCACCACCTGGCAATTTCTATTTGTTAACAGACCATTTCAAAGCTGAGTATGGTGGTATTCACCTGAAGTCTCAGCACTTGGGAGGCAGAAGCAGAAGGACCAGGAGTCAGCCTTGCTTACATAGTGAGTGAGTTGGCAGCCAGCTATGTGAGACCTTACCCCAGGCGGGGTGGCGGGCAGTTCTGGGGAGATGACTCAGTCATTAAAGTGCTTGCTGTGCCACATGAGGACCCGAGTTCCATCAACAGAATCCATGTTAAAAGAGAGCAGCAGCCGCTGAGTGTACAGTGTGTGCCTGATATCCTAGCCCTGGGGAGGCAGAGACAGGAGGAGGCCCTGGAGTTTACTGGGCAACCACCCCAGCATATTTGAGAAGCTCCAGGTAGTGAGAGACCTTGTGTCAATAAAAGAACAAGGCAGACAGAGCCTTAAGAACACATTGGCCTCTGGCCACCACATGTTCACACATTATGTACACATGTGCACACACAAACATAAGGACCATTCAGAGTTAATAAGGTCTTTCTGGAACTCAGCTCTGGTCTCTTCACACAGTCCTTCTTTCAGGGCTGGCCTAACACTCTGGTCTTCTATCCTGTGGATTTTCTCAGCCAGTCCCAGGTGCCTAAGAATTTGAGTTCAACTGAAAGTGGCTTGTCATTGGGGACAGTGTTGTAGACCCAGTGAGGTGAATGCCCTCCATCACCTCTCCTGAGTGACATGTAGCCCTTGGGCTCTGTGCTGGCCAGGCTTTGTGATGCATTTACATTGGATCCCTCAGGCCACGGCCTTCCTTGCCCCACAGCCTGGAGGTTTCCAGGCACTGACCGGGGCAGCCAGAGTGTGGGCCACCCTCAACAGGGAGGGCATAGGGCACTGTGTCATTCAGGCTCCTTATTATGTCCTTGCAGCATCAACTTCTCCATCCCTGAAGGAGCCCTTGTGGCCGTGGTGGGCCAGGTAGGCTGCGGGAAGTCATCTCTGCTTTCTGCCCTGCTGGCTGAGATGGACAAGGTGGAGGGACACGTGGCTCTCAAGGTAGGATGGGGCCAGAAGGTGGAGAGATGGTGCGGGAGGAAGGGTCATCAGCCTAGTGTCTCTCACAAACTGTCCAAGGGAGCAGCCCCCTTTTTCCTTCTGCCGTCCCCCATTCTCTTTGCTGCTTGTTTTGCCCCGGCTCTTTGGCTGTTGTGGAGTGTGGAAGCTGCTCAGTAAACAGGCTGTGAAGGCCCAGATATGATGCAGAGGGGCTCACACTTGTGGCTTCTGCCTTCACATGATGGTCTCCATCCCCAACCATTTCCCCTGCTGAATAATACTCCTGTGTGTGTGTGCCCCAAAAGCAGAAGGAGGGCTAAGGGAGGGAGGGGCGCTAGGGTGAGTTTAACCAAAGTACTTTTATATAAATGCT